CAGCACACTTAAAAAGAAGTATAACTTCGCCTCCAGGTCCTTCAAAAGAGTTATTGCCAAGGCAAAGTCAGAGCACATAGGCAGAATGGGCGAGAAACTAGTTCGCCTTCCTTCGGGAACCCGTGCATTCTGGTCTCTCGCCAAGGTTGTCCAAGGGAATTTCTGTAAGCCATCATTACCATCTCTGCACAGGGAGGACGACTCACTGGCCCACGACGCAAAAGAGAAAGCCGACCTTTTAGGCTCCCTTTTTGCGTCCAACTTGACTGTTGATGACGGGGGGAACACACCGCCGACCATCCCGCGGGTGTGAGTGCTCCATGCCGGATGTGCGGTTCTCACAGCGCTCGATTCGCGGAGCACTCCTCTCCCTTGACATCCACAAGTCGAGTGGGCCTGACGGAATCTCCCCAATTGTGCTGAGGACGTGTGCTCCGGAGTTGGCACCGGTCCTAACGCGTCTTTTCCGGTACTCCTACTCCCAAGGCGTAGTCCCAAAATCATGGAAGACAGCTTTGTCCACCCGATCCCTAAAAAAGGCGACCGCTCAAACCCGTCCAACTACAGGCCTATCGCCATCACCCCCTTGTTCTCCAAAATAATGGAATCCGTTATAAACTGCCACCTCATTCGGTACCTTGAGGATCACCAGCTGATTAGTGACCGCCAGTACGGTTTTCGTCGGGGTCGATCAGCTGGTGATCTTCTGGTCTACTTAACTCATAGATGGGCGGAGGCAGTAGAGTCCAAGGGGGAGGCATTGGCCGTTAGTTTGGACATTGCGAAGGCCTTCGATCGGGTTTGGCACAAAGCACTTCTTTCGAAGCTCCCTTCCTATGGGCTTCCGCGAAATTATGCAATTGGATCACCAGCTTTCTTGCAGATCAGAGCATCAAGGTCGTTGTAGACGGTGCATGCTCCGACTACAAGCCTATTAACGCTGGTGTTCCACAAGGCTGCGTGCTATCACCAACGCTGTTTCTTCTGCATATCAATGATATGTTGCAAGCTGGTAGCATTCATTGCTATGCGGATGACAGCACTGGTGATGCTCTATACACCGGCCGTGCCAATATTGCTCGGGAAAACGTCACCGAGTACCGGAACAAACTTGTGTCTGAAGTCGAGTCTTTGCTGGACAAAGTCTCGGATTGGGGGCGACTAAATCTAGTCCAGTTTAATCCTCAGAATACACAAGTTTGCGCGTTTACCGCTAAAAGGAACCCCTTTGTCGTATCTCCTCAGTTTCAAGGTACTCCCCTTGTTGCCTCAGCTAGTATCGGAATCCTCGGCGTCGACATATCGAGTGACGTGCAGTTTCGTGGTCACTTGGAAGAGAAGGCCAAATTGGCCTCTAAAAAGCTTGGCGTGCTCAGCAGAGCGGGACAGTATTTCATGCCAGCTCAACGCCTGCAACTTTACAAGGCGCAGGTTCGGCCTCACATGGAATACTGTTCCCATCTCTAGGCTGGGGCTCCCCAGTGCCAGCTCCTTCCACTTGACTGCATCCAGCGCAGAGGGGAGTGCTCTGAGGAATTGTTCGGATTAATCCCAGCCGCCAAAATTCACGAACGCACATCGCGGCAGAACTCCCGATACCATCCACACCATCTGGATGATTGGCGGTCCACCACTGTGCGATTTAGAAGATGTTTTCTTCCTCGCACAACTTCCTTATGGAATAGTTTACCACCAGCGATTTTTCCAGACCGATACGAATTAGGGACCTTCAAGAAAAGAGCCTACTCCTTTTTAAAAGGCCGGCAACGCATCTGCAATTCCCCTGGTGTTGCGGCTGTTCATGGGCGGCGGTAGTCACTTACCATCAGGTGAGCCGCATGCTCGTTTGCCCACTCTCCTATAAAAAAAAATAAAAAAAAACAAGTCTCTCGTTAACAACTTGTAAAGATTGGGATTGTGTCGACGATGGTTGCGTACCTTATACTCAGAATCACCAAACGGTATTCGCTGAAGGTCATACAGGTTTACGCACCAACCTCGACACACCCCGATGAGGAGGTGGAAGAAATGTACGAGGATAACTCTAGAGCCATGCATTCCTCCAAAACCCACTATACGGTGTAAATGGGAGACTTCAACGTAAAACTAGGCACAAGAGAGAACGGTGAGCTGAAAGTAAGGCAATTCGGAATAGGGCAAAGGAACCCAACGGGCCAGCAGCTGGCCGACTTTATGAAGAAAGAGGGACTCTTTATGATGAACTCTTTCTTCCGGTTAAAAGCGGCCCCACAGGAAGTGGACCTGGTCGAGTCCCAACGGTTCGACAAAAAATGAGATTGACTTCATTATGACGACCAGACGACAACTGTTCAGTGATGTCTCAGTGATAGCGAGGGTGAAAACCGGCAGCGATCACCGTTTGGTGAGAGGCACACTGAACCTAAACGTTAAGTTGGAGAGGTCTCGTCTAATGAAGTCAACGCTCCGTCCCCCTCGTGCTCTAATTCAAAGTCCCGAAACCTTTCAGCTCGAGCTACGAAACCGTTTTCAGTGCCTAGAAGATTGCAATGCAGTGGACGATATGAATGACAAGCTCGTGGAAACTGTCCATGCGGTTGGAGCTAAGTTTTGCAAGACTCGCCGCAGAAGAACACAAAAACTCTCCGATCACACTCTTAATCTCATGGCTGTTAGACGGGAAATGAAGCTGCGGTCTTCAATACATTTGACAGCATACAGGCAACTGAACAGACAGATCTCCAAATGCATGCGGCGGGACTTACGCAAATTCAATACTGCTCGTATTGAAGAAGCGATCGAGCGGAACCAGGGCTCCAAACTCTTTGCTAGAGTTCTATCTGCAAGAAAGAGCCAACTGTCGAAGCTGAAGACAGAATGTGGCATCGTCGTTTCCGGGACTCCTGAGATTTTGATTGAGATTGAGAGGTTCTATGGGCAGCTGTACACATCATTGTTGGAGCCACACGCAAGTGTGAGTAACGATCTAAGAGCGAGTCTTATCCGATATTATTCCGATGATATCCCGGACGTCAGTCTGAGCGAAATTAGAATGGCTCTCCAGCACCTTAAAAACAGCAAGGCCCCAGGCGAGGATGGAATTACAGCGGAGCTTCTGAAAGCGGGTGGAAAACCAGTACTTGAAGTCCTTCAGAAGCTCTTTAATTCCGTCCTCCATGGTGGCATTACACCGGAGGCGTGGAGCAGAAATGCGATGGTCTTGTTCTTCAAGAAAAGCGACAACGCTCTCTTGAAGAACTACAGACCGATTTCCCTTCTGAGCCGCGTCTATGTGCTGTTTACGAGAGTCATTACGAATCGTCTCGCGCGCAGACTTGACGACTTCCAGCCTCCCGAACAAGCCGGTTTCCGAAAAGGCTTTAGCACCATGGACCACATACATACCCTTCGGCAAATTGTACAGAAGTCAGAGGAGTACAATTTGCCACTATGTCTGGCGTATGTGGACTATGAGAAAGCCTTTGATTCCGTCGAAATTTGGGCGGTGCTGCACTCCCATCAGCGGTGCCAAGTTGACTGTCGGTATATCGAAGTGTTGAAGTGCTTGTACAGTAGGGCTACGATGGCTATACGAGTACAGAATCAGAGTGCAAAACCTATCCAATTACAGAGAGGTGTAAGACAGGGTGACGTCATATCCCCGAAACTCTTCACCACTGCATTGGAAGACGTTTTCAAGCTTTTGGACTGGAAAGGATACGGTATCAACATCAATGGCGGGTAAATTACTCGCCTTCGATTTTCCGACGATATAGTCCTTATGGCGGAAACGCTGGAGGACCTAAGCACTATGATCAATGACCTCAATAGTGTTTCCCAACGGATAGGTCTTAAGATGAACATGGACAAAACAAAGATTATGTTTAATGTCCATGTCACACCTATGCCGGTAGTTGTTGGGAGCACTAAGCTCGAAGTTGTTGACGAGTATGTTTACCTGGGACAAATAGTCCGACTAGGTAAGTCCAACTTCGACCGAGAGGCCAATCGACGGATTCCACTCGGTTGGGCAGCGTTTGGGAAATTACGGTACATCTTCTCGTCAGGTACACCTCAAAACTTGAAAACGTACGATACATCTTCTCGTCAGGTATACCTCAAAACGTGTACAACCAGTGCGTGTTGCCAGTGATGACCTATGGAACTGAGACGTGGTCCTTCACTGCTGGCCGAATGAGGAAGCTCAAGGTCGCTCAGCGAGCTATGGAGAGGGCTATGCACGGAGCGACTCTGCGTGATAAACTTAGAAATGAGTATATCCGCAGTAGAACCAAAGTGACCGATATAGCCCAATGGATTAGTAAGCTGAAGTGGCAATGGGCCGGCCATATAGCTCGAAGAACCGACAACCGATGGGGAAAAAAGGTTCTCGAGTGGCAGCCTCGTACCGGCAGGCGAAGTGTAGGGCGTCCCCCCTCTAGATGAGGTGACGACCTGGTAAGATATGTAGGAAGTCGATGGATGCAGGTGGCTCAGGACCGTGCTTTGTGGCATTCCTTGGGGGAGGCCTATGTTCAGCAGTGGACTTGTGAAGGGCTGTAATGATGATAATGATGACCAAGTAAGGACTAAAGTAAAATGGTAAATAAACAATCACTTGTTTGATTTGATGTCGATATTCCTATACTAAAGACACAATCGATATTTGTATTCTACAAACCTGTATTTCGTGTTATAGCCACGCTACATGACCAAGGAATGCCTACGCTCTCACAGAATACCTACCTAAAATATTACGAACCAAGGCATTACATAATAAAGAATAAATTATATTGCATATTTTAATAAAATCATGATGTTTCCCGGTTTAATTCCATTAACGTCTACAACTTTTGAATATTAATACAAATTATAAACTGCGTAGAGCCTTCGTGCCGCAAATATACGATTCAAAAGTTCAAAGAATTTCAAAGATTGTATTCAGCATAATGTTTAATGTGTTTTGTTTTGTTTTAATGTTAAAAATATTAACTTTTATTTTATTTCAACAGGCCTTCACAATGTACGGGTTGCTCCTGGAGAACATGGCGGAATACATCCGCCAGACTTATGGCGAGGAAAGATGGGAGGATATTAGACGGCAAGCGGGAGTGGAACAGCCTTCCTTCTCCGTCCACCAGGTCTACCCAGAAAACCTCATCACTAGATTAGCGAAGAAAGCACAAGAGGTATAAAATTTAAGCCACTAAATCAAGATACAATCTGAATTAATATTACTGTATAAAACAAAAAAAATAGTCTAAAGTTTCTGAAATACTGCCACACTTGTCCAAAGTGCAGTGAGTAGGTAAATTCGACAACGTTAATGACATGCATCTGATTCAAATGCACTCTGCACTCTGCTTTATCGTTTGTTTTCTTATTTTTTCCGAATGAAATTTAAAATTGAGGATTGTATTTTCATACAGACTTCTTCACAAGAATTTAATTAGGTACCTTTAAATAGGCCGTTAGAATAAAAATCAAACCATAATTACGTGAGTATTTTTAACTTACCGTTTTGAAAATTAATAATTTTCAAAAGTAGGAAGTTGTAGTTATAATTATTTGAGTTTTCATCAGATCTCCACGTTTTGAGAAGAAGCCGTTCCGACTATTTCCGGCTGGACGTCCAGCCGTCTGTGTGTGAACACCGACACAACAACCGTACGATACATTAGAACTAATCAAACGATCGAGATGGGCGACATGTTTGAAAGTGTTCATTGAGACTTCGATTTGATTAGATTTTCAAATCAATCGGTCGAGCCGTTTCAAAGATTTTCAAAAAATAAAAACCAAATATAACTTAAATATATTTCCCAGCGTTGCGATCTAAAATAAACGGAAAATTCCAGGGATGGACTGCAGGGTCAACCGCATTTTTTATCTGTAGCGTATGTAACAAAATAACCATGCAATAAAGGTTATTTCAATGATTCGTCTTAATGTAGTGACTGTACACCATTTGGAGTCGATTGAAATAGACAGTTATTAATAAAATGGCACGTGAATTGAAGTTCTCCCTACGTGAAGATCGTCACGTATATTTTTCGATCAGATATATTTAGAAAAATCAAACTTTGATTCTGAAGATTGATGATTCTATTTATAGAACAGATTAAAATGTAACATTCACATAAAAATAAAAATATAAAGCAAAATATAAAATATAACAGTAGACGAATAACTGAAATATAGAAGAAATAAAAATCTTTGTTTTTAGCAGATTTTAAAAAAGAAGGAGGTCTAATTACATTATATGTTTTGAATAAACTACTTTTACGGATTCTATCGCGTTTAATCAACTTATTTTTATTAATTCCCGAAGTTTCGGGTGCTTTACAGTTACAGCACCCGAAACGTCGGGAATTAATCGTTGGAATTAATAAAAATAAAAATAAATTAATTAAATTAATAAAAATAACATAATTAAACGCGATAGAATCCGTAAAAGTAGTTTAATTCAATGTGTAGTGTTCGCGTAAATATAAGAAATTATTATACATTGTACATTGTATTATTATTATTGTACACAGTATGTTTATTTTGTACGTGTGTTCCGGGATATCTTCGTCGGTTGTGAACCGATTTTGAAGGTTCTATTTTTATTAAATGTGTTATACTTCAGGATTGGTCCGATATAAATTTGGAGAAAATAAAATTGTGGGTGGCTAATAGGGGACAAAGTTTATAATGTATCTAACAATCACAATTAATGTCTTTGTCCCCTATCTTACCAAGGGTTTAGGTGACATTAAAGTGACACTGAGATTGAGCTATTCCTTAGTCCTGTCAAAAAGTTCAACAATTTTTTTGTTTTGTTTTTAGGGCTTTAATTTTTCTGTCTTAGCACCGACTTTAGAATGTGAAATAATTTTTTTAGCTCATTTAAGTTGACTTTTACGAATTACTAAAAGTATTTTCTTCTAACCGAGTTTGAAAAGACGACAAGACTATATACTCGTCGCGTTCTTTTATATATGTTACCGGTTTCTGGGGAATTGTTAAAAATTTGAGTCCAAATCTGCACTTCATCAGACAGTACTTTGAACTTTTCGTCAGAAGTAATATAACAAAATGCTTCGTTACTTGGTGTTTTTCACGATAGTAGTTGTATGGTTTGGAACCCATGACTTTCAATCGTGCACCCTTAACTATTAGGTAACTGTAGCTTTTTTGGTAGAATAAGGGTGACAAACAAGCACACAGTCCACCTGATGGTATGTGGATGCTGTGCCCCACAGAGATCTACATTTATCCTCGATTAAGAATCAAAAAACAGATGCGTTGTGACCCTTGAGGACTAAAATGAAATGCCTCGTATCCAGTAAAAAGGGTCTCCGGTTCTCTACACTCACCATACGAAACACAACAGAATTGAGCTGCTATTTTACGCTGGTATTCTGTGAATTCGTGCTCCTTCGCCGGTCGACCCGGCCCATTCGGGCTACAACCATTATTTAGGTGCAGCGTTTCTTTACCACGTAACAAACGATTATAAACAACCTCCAGATTAAAATCGCTCATTTTGTTTTAACGATCTGCTTACGAAATATTAGTCGAAGTTATCAGTCAAAGTTTGAATCAAAACCTGGACTTTGACCTTTTCGTCAGAGGCAATAAATTTAGAATATTTAAATTAAAATTGGTAAATCCAATTAGGCATGCCTTAAGCGCATTAAAATAATTACATATAACATGATTATACGGAATTTTTAAAGTAGTTTAAATACACTTCGACAGCACTATCGGATTCAACACCCTAGAAAACCATGAAAATGACACCCATGATGAAAAAATTGGTACCTACTTCAGCCGCCATCTTGGATTTACATTTCGACAGCACTATCGGCTTCAACACCCTCGAAACACATGAAAGTGACACCCATGATGAAAAAATTGATACCTATTGCAGCCGCCACCTTGGATTTACATTTCGACAGCACTATCGCCTTCAACACCCGCGAAAACCATGAGAATGACACCCATGATGAAAAAATTGATATCTATTGCAGCCGCCATCTTGGATTTACATATCGACAACCCTATCGGCTTCAACTTTCTCGAAAACCATGAGAATGACACGCATGATGGAAAAATTGCTATCTATTGCAGCCACCATCTTGGATTTCCATTTCGACAACCCTATCGGCTTCAACACCCTCGAAAACCATGAAAATGACACCCAAGATGAAAAAATTGATACCTATTGCAGCCGCCATCTTGGATTTACATTTCGACAACACTACCGGCTTCAACTTTCTCGAAAACCATGAAAATGACACCCAAGATGAGAAAATGTATACCTATTGCAGCCGCCACTTTGGATTTACATTTCGACAGCACTATCGGCTTCAGCGCCCTCGAAAACCATGAAAATGACACCCATGATGAAAAAACTTATACCTATTGTGGCCGCCATCTTGTATTTACATTTCGACAACCCTATCGGCTTCAACACCCTTGAAAACCATGAAAATGACACCCAAGATGAAACAATTTATACCTATTGCAGCCGCCTACCTTGGATTTACATTTCGATAGCACTATCGGCTTCAGCGCCCTCGAAAACCATGAAAACGACACCCATGATGAAAAAATTTATACCTATTGTGGCCGCTATCTTGTATTTACATTTCGACAACCCTATCGGCTTCAACACCCTCGAAAACCATGAAAATGACACCCAAGATGAAAAAATTGATACCTATTGCAGCCGCCATCTTGGATTTACATTTCGACAACACTATCGGCTTCAACTTTCTCGAAAACCGTGAGAATGACACGCATGATGGAAAAATTGCTATCTATTGCAGCCGCCATCTTGGATTTCCATTTCGACAACCCTATCGGCTTCAACACCCTCGAAAACCATGAAAATGACACCCAAGATGAAAAAATTGATAGCTATTGCAGCCGCCATCTTGGATTTACATTTCGACAACACTATCGGCTTCAACTTTCTCGAAAACCATGAAAATGACACCCAAAATGAGAAAATGTATACCTATTGCAGCCGTCACCTTGGATTTACATTTCGACAGCACTATCGGCTTCAGCGCCCTCGAAAACCATGAAAATGACACCCATGATGAAAAAATTTATACCTATTGTGGCCGCCATCTTGTATTTACATTTCGACAACCCTATCGGCTTCAACACCCTCGAAAACCATGAAAATGACATCCAAGATGAAAAAATTGATATTTATTGCAGCCGTCATCTTGGATTTATATTTCGACAGCACTATCGGCTTCAACACCCTCGAAAGCCATGAAAATGACACCCATGATGAAAAAATTTATACCTATTGCAGCCGCCTACCTTGGATTTACATTTCGATAGCACTATCGGCTTCAGCGCCCTCGAAAACCATGAAAACGACACCCATGATGAAAAAATTTATACCTATTGTGGCCGCTATCTTGTATTTACATTTCGACAACCCTATCGGATTCAACACCCTCGAAAACCATGAAAATGACACCCAAGATGAAAAAATTGATATCTATTGCAGCCGTCATCTTGGATTTATATTTCGACAGCACTATTGGCTTCAACTTTCTCGAAAACCATGAAAATGACACCCATGATGAAAAAATGTATACCTATTGCAGCCGCCACCTTGGATTTACATTTCGACAGCACTATCGGCTTCAGCGCCCTCGAAAGCCATGAAAATGACACCCATGATGAAAAAACTTATACCTATTGTGGCCGCCATCTTGTATTTACATTTCGACAACCCTATCGGCTTCAACACCCTCGAAAACCATGAAAATGACACCCACGATGAAAAAATTTATACCTATTGCAGCCGCCACCTTGGATTTACATTTCGATAGCACTATCGGCTTCAGCGCCCTCGAAAACCATGGAAACGACACCCATGATGAAAAAAATTATACCTATTGTGGCCGCCATCTTGTATTTACATTTCGACAACCCTATCGGTTTCAACACCCTCGAAAACCATGAAAATGTCACCCATGACAAAAAAAATTGATACTACTTACTTTTAGTACGTACTACTATTATTTATTCTATGCTTTTAACTAACATATTGATTCACTAAATCATAAATGTAATAATTAAAATTATAATGTCAAAATAATAATGACAAAACGAGTGTAAATTATTATGTCTCAAAATTAATAATATAGATAAAGTTGTGTGTTTCATTCAA